TAACTAGTGATTTCCTTTAAAATTACAATACCCTTAACCTGACGGGTATTTCGAACCGCCAATTTAGTGCTAATAGCAGCCACAACAGAATTCTCATATGATGTGTATACTGGAAAACTTGATAAATCTGCAAAAACCCAAGGATAGTACTTACTTACAATCGGTTTAGCAAATAAAGTTTCTATTCCATGACCGATCTGAATGGTAGCAGGGCTCATAATATCTATAACCCCAAAATCACTCTCTAGCATTTTATGGCCTAATATGTAATTGGGAAAAGGACTTTTACCCATGTCGGCATGACCAATTGTCAACACCAAATCTCAATCTTTTGCCTGTCGTATATACTCTCAAAACCATCTTGTAACTTCTTTTGAATATTACTGATAATCGTCATTACTATTTCTTGATACGCGTACACAGTTCTACTTAAGAAGGTCCGAAAAGTAAAATACTTACAGTACTTTCAAAGAGAAAAGTGAAGGGGCACTTGGCCAAACATGTAAATAATATCGTAATTACCTATAAGAGAGTCAAGAAAACTTTCCGTATGGCGACTTAAGCTGTAAATTATTGCAATGACTTGGTTATGTATTTACAATTTAATATACCGTTAATTGTTATGAGCCACAACCGTGAATACAGCAACCGTTTAAGAATAGAAATCTAGAGCACTCATTCACGATAAATTTGTGAAAGTTGGTATGGTACGACTGTCACGTTCTGTAATAGTTACATAATTAGTATGTTACCTTCTTTCTATATATGGTTAAATATCACGATGTTATCACGTCAGGCGTATATAGATGTAGTTATGGTACTATATTAAGGTTATCTATATATGTATTCTCATGTTGCCATACTTGGCATGATAGTCTATTTGTAATGACTAAACTAGGGAAACCTTTCTGTTAGTGATGATCTTGTGATCTACGTCAGTAGACCAAAGGTCACAATAAAGAAAGTATATAAACTCTTCATTTTAACAATAAAGTTAGTTCTTCAACTTAATTACTGGGTCTCCTTGCTGAGTGCAGATCTAGTACTTGTTACAAAATTTGGAAGTTGTAACAACGACAAAGCTGACGTTTCTAACGCCCTTTATTATCCTTTATTATACTATAAAAGAGAAGAAGATTTATTCATATGGCAGCTATACTGTAGAATCAGGGCTGAAGAGAATTAGCAATAAAAAAATTCGCTGTAATATATTATATCAGGGCTCTTGTTCTCACAGCATTGTGTGTGGGTTTACCTAATTCGAATTAATTAAATAAATTTGTTGCTGTCGTTGAACAGGTACATACGAGCATGACAGTTACAGACTTTCAGGGTAGTTTAGGCACATAAGGCACAGAGTATTATTATGAACAGTTGAAAATAGGAAATTAGCCAAATCAGGTGAAAGTATGTAAAAATTGGAAAGATTTTACACTATGTTAAGCTTAAGTCAAGTCAATGTTGACTTAAAGAGGTAAATAACATATTTAAAAGTTTACAAATGAAATTATACCATCAAATTTTTTCTCACAAGATTTTTATTAGAAATTCAACTGTGAACAACTACGATAATTTAACAATAATCAAATAATGCTGTAGTCGCACATAGATTAATATTATAAGGCTGATAAATGATACCAATTATAAATAGGAAATAATGCGAGAATAACTACTACGTTAAATAAGTAATACACTGGTAGAATATCTTCCAGAAATTGATAAGGTTAATAAATAGGTTGCTTACCGAAAATACGCGTATCTAATAAGCATCTCCTTTTTATACGCACAATACTAGATCAATAATGATACCGACCGCCTAATGCTATCAGAGCTGATATCGAATTCATTGTAGCGGTATAACTATGATATGATATGGTTTACAGTAGCCATTGTGGGTTAATTGTTAGAGGTGCAGTAACTCCTTTTAGAAAGTAAAAGTGAAGTCGATGTTGTAGCTTATTTTGTAGTAATCACTTACCTTTTAGTTAAAATTATGTACTTATCATTTAATAGGATTCTAGCATTATTTGCCATTAAAACCTTATAATGAGTTCGACTGAAATTTACTCTATTGTGGACCAGTGGGGGCTAATATACCTATCTATTCGTATAAATTACTTGCACTAAGGAAAAGAATATGAATAGTGGGTACTTATATAAAAAATTCTACTATCCCTATTATAACCTCTTTTTTCAGATATCATTAGTAATAAAAATCGACTAAATTTTAACAGAATTTGAGTACCGTAATGAACTAGTGTTATTATGACAATAATTGTTCATTATAATTGGGAACCAACGGCAACAAAGTTTTGTATCGATATGTTATAGTACTGGCAGCCAAATTGACAATATTTAAATGTTAACATCAATGACCCGTATCTTAAGAATTTATTACCATCGTTATTATCTTTGCCCTAATCTTCATCTTTACATCAAATATCCGTAACAATTTACTAATTTAAGAACCGTAATGAA